TAATCATAGTTCGATAAACGTGAGTACCAGCGATTCAAGCGTACCAGCTTTTAACCTTTGTTAGCGCGATTTCGTAACGTTGTACGAGCAGAATGATCTGTGCGCAGAGTGAATCGACTTCGGAATAAGTAAAAGTGCCATTTCTCACATGTCCAGACGCATGCGAAGGCTTCTTTCTCGCCGGCGGAATAAATTCTTTCAGTATCAGACAAGACACGTGATGCGTACGCAATCACTTTCTCCTCGCCATCGCGCAGCTGGGACAGAACTGCACCCAAGCCAACATCTGAAGCATCCGTTGAAACAAACCTTGGACAGTGCTCACTGAAAATGGCTGATGTGGAAGTGAACTCAATCATCGCTCGTATGGTCATGTAAGCACTGTCTTGTTCAGTGACCCAACGAAATTCATGCTTTTGGCGCGTCAACCTCCGTAACGGCTCGGCAATAGTCGCAAAATGCGGCACATGTCGAAAGTACTAAGAACACAAACTCAAGCAATGTTTCAGCTGTGTAACGTTGCATGGTTTTGGACATCGAGAATGGCTTTGGGGTTCTGCACATTAGACTTAATATCAGAAGTAGAAATAACATGTCCAATAAACTCGATCTCCATGACAGCGAATTGGCATTTGTTGGCATTCAGGCGGAAATTTAGTTCATTCAGTCTATGCGGCCCATTATGAAGGTTTTCCTGATGTTCGGTGGGGTTGCTACCAAAGACACAAATGTCATCATATACACAAGAAATCCTTTGAGATCTGATAACGATAGATTAATAAATTTCTGCCAAGCTGCCGGGGCATTACTAAGGCCCATTGGTGGCATTTTCTACGGATACAAACCGTCTTGCGTGTGGAAAGCAATCAAATGTCGGTAATCTGGAGTCAGTGGCATGTAGTAGTATGCACTGCGAATATCCATCTTTGAGAAAAGCATGGCGTTTGATAGCTTAACCATCAACTCGTCGATAGAAGGCAGAGGGAACTTGTCCACAAGTATATGTTGATTAAGGGCTCGAAGGTCGGTGCATACACGAATAGAACCACCATTTTTTTAAACGGCAACTAGTGAATGAACACATTCAGAACATTGTATGGATTCTATCAAGTCTTCCGTGATCATATTTTTCAAAGCTTGCGACAACGGTCCTTGCTTGGCCAGAGGTACAGGCTTAGGTTGTGAAGTGCTGAACGGTTTGTAATCCGCGCTCAACCGAATGCGCTACACTGTTTTAGGGACTCTACCGATATCCGGATGGAAGAGATTGAAGTAACTGGAACGTAAAGAATGAAGGTTGACACTGGCAATGGTCATCCGGCTGACGCATGGTGATACATTCAATAAGACCATGGCATTACATCCCGATGGAGGTTTACTATCAGTTTTAGAGACGTAGATTTCAACTATACGCATCCTGCTGTTTATAAGAAACATTGAAACCGTAACAAAACCGAGTGTATAGACATCAGCATTTGAGTAGCTGCTGAAAGTGTAATCTGAAGGATGTACAGTTAGCTGACCAAAATGCTGTTTTTTTTACAAACAACATCGCACAGCTGCGATTGGTGACGCGGAATCTGGTTCCATGTCTAGACAAATGGTTTTGTTTCTAATTTCAAAAAGCACACGACAAATGTCTGGCGAAGGCAGTTTGGCTTCTTGAGTTGGAGACGAAAGTGGAGGTTCGCATTCATTAAAGACATATATATATATATATATATATATATATATATATATATATATATATATATATATATATATATATATATATATATATATATATATATATATATATATATATATATATATATATATATATATATATGTTGCTCAGTGGTGACCAGAGAAGCTCTGGAATCACTTGCAGAAGCCACTAAAGAAATGGCGCAGGAACGAAAAACACGAGAAAAATGACCGGGCTTACCGCAATTCCGGCAGATTTCACTCTTTACAGGACAAGACTTGTCATTTGCATGATGTTCAGCATTTCCACAACGGTAACACTTATCTCTAACTGAGGAGTGCTTCAGAGAGCGTGTAGAATCCAAACGGTCAATTTCAGTGGCTGTTGTGTTAGAGAGGAAAACTTTGTTTCGTTCAATGACTGCCACCTTCGCGCGAGCTACTTCACAGGCTCTGCCCTATGTGCGCTTTCCTGCGTTCTCCATTAAGAGACTCTCTGATCCAAGAATCCGTGAGACTAGAAATCAATTGCTGTATTAGTATGGTTTCTTCCACTTTTTTCTTGGGAATACTATTGTAGTCACACTTTCGAATAGAACGAACAAGACGGGAAATGAATGCATCCACTGATTCACCAGATGCTTGTTTCAGCTACGAAAAATTGTACCGAGAATTACAGGTGTTCACTCGAACACCCAAATGTTTATCGAGGGCCGATAAGCCTCTGTCAACGTGGGTTTCTCCCGCAGGTTTAGAGCATCAAATATACCTCGACCCACCGCGCCGAGGTGTAATTGCAAAAGCTTTAAAGTATCCTCCATTTTCAGCGTCACGGATAGATTGAGAAGTAGTAGCACAGAAATAGAATCTGAAAAACTAATTTTCCGATCTTCCCAGCATTCGGCATTTGGGCTAACCGCAGAGTCAGTCCAGAACGGTGAAGGGGCAGTAGCATGCAAAGATATCGGTAACACGAATCATCAGTTTGTTGTATCCCGAAAGGCAACAGACCAAAACAGCAGCGGAACGTACGTATGGAAGAAACTGTCTGCACACACGCGCAGTACGATTAAATCGATGGAGGTTCGCATTGCAACCAATCAAATGCAAGAGCACATGATAGGCCAACAAGTGCCAAATAGAAGTGTGAGTAGGGTAAGTGAATGGAGGGTCAAAACGAAACAAAGTATTTGGACACGACAGTTGGTTACTTGATTTGTGCAAATTAACGCGCACCTCACTCTTGGTGTCCGCGTCCCAGTCTCTCTGCAAAGCTTTACTATTTGAGGTCTGTCAACCTGTGATAGGTGCACAGAAACTCTTGAAGCAATCATTTACATTACCTTGGTCTTGACTATAACATTTTTGTCGATGTGCTAAATTTGCTATCTGTAAAATTGTGCCATTTTTCTGCTTGTATTGTTTATGTGTCTGATGAGATCAATCCAAATGTCAACATATCGTTGGAGAATTGACATTACTCTACAACGGTGGATTAGCGAGTAGATGTCGTCGTCCCGTTTTGAATTGCTCACTGAGGTTGATGGGTGCTTCTAGTGTGCGCAATTTGCTACCCCGCGCCAAAAGAAAGTGACTTTATAACCGTGCTAATAGGTTCTTCATAGCGGAGAGTATAACCTGATTCATTTCTAAAGTGGACAATGGTGGGCGGTATACAATGGCCACTAAACATTTGTCACCCTACATAATTGCTAGCGGGAAAATAACGGGTCTACGGGTTGAATTCCCAGGTCGTTAACGCGGTCGACGTCTAGTTCTGAACGGTGGTAAATAATTACACCATCTTCCTTGGGCGTCAGTACCCGCGCAGCAGTGAAGTACCAGGTAATACGATCTCACTTTGTTCAGCCAAGTCACGGTTATCATGATTGGGTCAAAATATGTTGTGGCTTGAAGCGATGGAAGCTAGACCAATTTGTTGAAAATGCCTTGTGCACTCGTATACGTACAATCGAAAGTCACGGATTTCAGAAACGCACATGAACACACAAGCATTACCAGCGACTTTACGCCGACTCTTTTTAAGCCGGCTACAATCGTTTTTGGAGCAACTACTGACCATTGACCCGAGGCCGCTTTGGGCTGGTGTACAGAGCTCTCCTTAGGTAACTCTCCAGTGGCGACTTGTGGGGGACTGACTGTTTCGTCTTCATACGACTGGCGAATTCATATGCTCTCCGGTTCAGAATTGCAGACATCTGGACTTACAACACTCACCAAGGGGAACGTGATTAACGGTCACGAGCAAGGTTGGCTTCACGCAGGCACACAGACCGTATTGGTGCGCTTATGATTTGACTAATTAGGCATAAATGCTGAAATTTCCAATTTGCCAGAACCCAGACCGTTTACAAGCACCATGTTTAGAGGATCCATTGGAAGTGACTTACACATTCTAGCATTTTAATCTTTTTCAAGCTAACAGGGCAATTTCAAAGTGGTATCGACTAAACCCTCAGTGAGCTTGGACGCTTAATATTTATTTTACTGTGACCTATAGCCACTGGTGTGTAATGTGTAACATGTGAACCTTTTTGTTAGCTACTGGTTCACACTTGGATACTGTGTACTAAGTTGAAGTGTCACGATTCTCGAACATTCCTGTACAGATAAGTTAGCCTACGCAACGGCCGGATTTAAAACAATATTGACGTATTCTCACCTTCAATCAGTGTAGTCCACCATCCAAATATTCCTCACCGGTGTAAGTGCACAGTGTGTGAAATTGAAAAATCTGCTCCGTTACAGTTGGTGAGGAGAAGATAATCCAAGTAGAATACCCAGTTATGCATAGTATGGACACAAGGAATCCAAGGTCAAGATAGAAACGCAGTCGTTAAAACAGGCGGGAAATCTGAAAACCTATTTCCCAAACACGATGACTCTACTTTCTATGTAGAGTCTTACCACAGGTGCCTATAAAACAAGTCGCTGAGGGCATAAAAGTTAAGAGGAGAAAACCGAAAAGTAAGATTATAACTCCATCCACATCTGGTACTTGGTAAAATCGGAATACCTAAGCTTTCTATCGGTAGAATGAGAGTTCACCTAGAGTTACTAAATCTAGGCGTAGTAGCAGTTGTTTTAAGCTTTTATAAGGAAGCTCACTGGTGTCATGAGGTTACCAACCCCCCATGCGGATGGACACGACCGGTGAAATTTTCAGGGTACACATGTGTGCGGTGTGATGATTGGAGATTGAATCTTGTCATTAATCACCAGTAGCTTTTACAACAGTGGAGTTTTGATAGCTGCAGTGTTGATTGCAAAAGCACAGTTAAGTAGATACTTACGTCTCTGTCCTGTGTCCCTCCCTTGAGGTGCAGAATGAAAGTGTACATCTGCTTTTCTCCTACCTATAGAAAATCATGATGCTGAATTTGATACTGACAAACCTTCAGCTTTTGAAATTCGGTTATATAGTCCAATGTGGTAATGTTGCTATCGTTGAACAGCTTGTTATGTTGGGCCACGGCGGTGTTAATCATGCTCTGCACTTCCGGTCGACTCATGTAATCCGGGGACGGAATTTCCCAAGTTCCTTCTATTTCTTTCATCATCTTGGTCCTTTCCCAACAGTTGGTCACGTCTATCATCTCCAGGGACACCCAAGGCTGTTGTATAACTCTCACTTCACAATACCGATAAACCTGAGCATAAATAGAATAAGAACGAGTAAGTAGATTAATAAACCTCTTGCGTCGCATCAAAAATCATAACATAGGCTTGTCATGGGTGAAATGGGTGTTGAGTGAATTGTCCTGATTGCTAGTTGCCATAGAAGCAGGAATGATGGGCCTTGTAGTTCCTAATCAGACCATGTGAGTGTTTTGACCCATCTTTACCGAGATGGTGAGTGTGGGGCTTCACGATTACCCACTTGCATCCTCATGGTTGTGGAGTATGGAAAAGCCGCGTACAATGAGCACACGTTCCGCGATATTCATTGTGTTCCAGTGAGGCACTTTAGTCCACATGCCTCCGATTGTTAGCCGATGAAAAACAGGATGGAAAGGAATGGTGCGACCTAATAGCAGGGCCTTGTCTGTCTCTATGAGACGTTTTAAGGAGCGATTATGTGGATTTAACGATGCGTTCCTAATACTCAATCCATCAAGTTACCACTTGATCAAATGTGAATTAACAACATCTCGTCTAATATATCGTGGGCGATAACGGCCATTTGGAAATCGTATAAAAGCGAAGGTGTCATATGGGCCGCAGATCCCTTTAAGAGCCTGAAGGTTTTCCATGATTGCTCAAATGCACTGGGAAGATTCCAAAGGAATATTTCACTTCTACACATCGGTGTGCAGCGTTGGGCTGCAAGCCGTTTGGCTTGTATCTACACACATTTGTTACCTTACATTGAATCATGGCATATGGATCCGTCGAAAGATGAGAGTGACCCGTTTGTAGCTTATACATTGGCTCAACTCAACATCATCGATGACACCGACATCAGCCTCAACTACGAAATGAGTCACAAGACTTTGTGCGGAAACACCAAGCTAATAGCCTCATTTCTGTTTCCTCGAAACTCTTACTGGTGTCATTCTGTGGCGTTCCACTGATAATCCCTTTGAGATCCAATACCAGCGGCCCTAGCTTATTAGACAATGCATTGCGCCACTAGAAGAGGGTTCTTTATCAAACATCAACTGATGGACTTCAATATTGCACACAAACACACGGTGCTGCTACCAGATGCCAGTACCACTCCACAAACACCGGTAATCAAAGGGGGTAAATCTGTTATTCTCCTCGACGCCACGTGGCGCGGTATCTCATCCCGGTAGTAACACTGGCCTTACCACAGTGTTGTCTTTGTCTGACTGACTATGATCCTGACGACCCCGTAGACGAATGTGGTTCAAAAGCCACATGGGCTTATCTGATGCGAGAATTAGCCCGCTCAGTGATGGGGCCACCAAAGGTGACACAGTTCATCTCCGATTGACATCGTGACCGGTGATTTGACCGGCCTCTGATAACCTGACCAGTGACTTGCAGGTTAGACCCTGCCAAAGTGTCTTGCACTCTGAAGATGAGAAGGATACGCCGAAGTGTGCGGAGCACTGTATCAATTTATCCAGGAATCTTAGTAAGGTGGGTGAATCTGATCCTAGGAGAGTAATATCATCTGCATACTCAGGCTTTGCCAGTCAGAACGCGACTGTGTGGACCGAGACAGTTAGGCTCATTTTGACCACTTTATGTGACAGTATATTAAACTGACCCGCTTACTGCAGAAGATTTCAGGCAGTGGTATGGCTTGCATCAGTTAATAGTGCAATCAACCATGGTGGGTGGGTGGGTGCATGATTGCATCGTTCAATGCGATGCAATAGTACAGCATTCTATGATTGCTTTAGATGTTGTTGCCATCCTTATAAATAAAGTTGCACGTTGAAACGTAAAAAAGTAGTTTCTACATTTTCATAGTAACCAGAGCCAATGGGACTTATCATGGTCATATCCGCGTTCAGAACGCCGAGATGCCATTGAGAAGGGATTTTTAAGTGAGTAACTATTTTAGCGTTACCCACTGCAACCTGAAACGCTATCTCGGGCCAACAACAACGACAGATAGTGCTAGAGCCAGTTATTTGCACGGAAGGTCACTGAAGGTGGTAATACCTCTTGAGAGAAATACCAGAACAAAGTTATTCGACAAGGTTAAAAGCCTCATCTGACAAATCACAACACGAAGTAGTAATGTTCTGGATAATACCTCCGTATTGTTATACTCTACAAAGGCTAGGATAGTTGCTAGTGGACACAAAAGCATCAAGTTTGGCTTGCGTAACAGAGGAGTTTGGAAAACAGTCCTCCCAAAGTCCAATGTATCAATAAATTTTCTGCACATGTTCTGTAGCACCTACCTAGAAGAAACCAAACTGCTGGTATCACCCACCTCTTTATCGTCGAGTAGACAAGCTGAAAGTGTTTCCTTGCATCCGATCGCTTTCATTGTAATAGTCATGGTGATTCGCCTGCCGCTCACAATCTAAATAGAAAGTGTTGGTGTTGTCTGTCGCTTACTTGGCTGCTTGTGTTCCGAACATCTTCCGCTGAGTACACATGGTTCGAATCGCTGCGATTGTTGTAATACGAGACAACTCGCTCAACGAGCCGCTTGAATTCTTCACTTTCTCTCTCTTTGGGATCCATGTGACGCGGATGGCCCACTCTCAACCGACTGCTTGGCTTGGTTGACCTGCAACCTTGAAAGGAATAGCTTCGATTGTCTTCGTCGGTCGCGAATCCACCAGTCACGACAACGTGACACAGTTGTAATTTAGGCTACAGCATAAACAGCGTTTAGATGCAGGATGCTTGAGACATGTAGATTATAAACAAAATCAAAATTGAAACCAGCGACTCATGTTTCTAATGCCTTCAAGTATCATAATTCTCAGATGGCCATGGTGCAGTTGTCAGCTAATAATTTACGTGCCAACTGCATATTTACTGGAGATTTACGTGGTGCCATCGAGTGGAAATATCGGATATTGACTATGTGGAAATAAATTAATTTTTTAGATTCATTCGGGCCACAGAATACGGGTTTACCTTCCGCCAAAACCACAGGTTTAGTGAGTGGATTTTAGATATGAAATTATTCAACATGTCAGCTGTGGCTTCGTTGTAAGAGGGGCATAGATTACGGTGGCTGGTGTCACTGGACTGCAGTCATCGTGACATTCGACTGCTATCACGTTTTTGTATCGAATGATATTCCTTTTACTTGCGAGCAGACGTTGCAACCTCGCGCAAGCTTTGTTAGTAGTTACAGTTTGGATTACCTAATGTAAAATGTTCATCACCCCTGCAGAATTAAACCACCTGCCCCGGTTATACGCCAGTTAGGTTATGAACTGCTCAAGTCCGTTGTAACTGGATGTCCTGCTCTCTATATGACCATGGTTCCAAGCACCGATTGCTCGAGATAAGGTATGTGTCCTACTGCTTAGTCCACTCATCATGGCTTGCGAATTGTTTCGGTAGAACAAGGTGCTCATGGTAAATATAGTCTTGGTCGCACCAGATGCGATGGGATGAAGTTCGATTAAACTGTTTTAAAACTGATCTATCCCAAGCAGACAGAGCCGTTAACAACATTATGCAGTTGCCTGGCTTGCCTCAAATAGCACGATCGGAATAGACAAGAGTATGGTACGCATCGTTGCATCTGCACGTTACTCGATTCTTAAATTTAGTGCTTTTGTATAAGTGTTCAAGAAAAGTGATCTACATCACACTTTTCACATACGCCTGTTAGTAATAGACTATACTTGTGGGACGTGCCCCATGCTGAGGCTGATGTTGCATTCATGATGCTTCTTCAGCGCAGTTGGGCTAAACCAACTTACACTTAAACTAAGTCTCTTTTTAAGCTGGATAAATTTCATTCCACTTCACTTGATTTGTTCTGCCTAACGGAATAATCTTCCATTAAATTTCCACGTTGCTTACGGTAATTGTGCTTATCTTCGTTAACTTTATTGCATTTGTAGCATTTTCTGAGTCACTTCTGGACATTTTTACCTATCGCGGATTCGTTGCCAACCAACATACTTCATATGTTAATTTAGGGAAGAGTTATTTCTGCATAGCCGTATTCTTTAACCGATATATATTATTTGTTACTATCATTCCAAGTGATTGGCTGTTGTTTGACATCCCCGGTGCGGCTGCTCTTGATGCGCATGTTGACAAGGTGTCTACCTGTCTATTACCCACTACCTCGTCCATACTGTCTCTAGGAGATTGTTGGTCGTTGCTGGAGGGGACGGGGTGCACGGTCCTTGTGGTCGTGCTAAGCTCGAAGAGTGGTTCCATGCACTCAGTGTGGAGCGGACTACGGTCCAGCCACCGCCTTGTGTGCGACTGATTCCCAAAAACAGCGTGCTTCTGTTTGCTTGTGAAGGAGTGTGGGCCGGCTCCGTTGATGAAAGGTGGCTCCCATCCACATGCCACCCGGTCTTATTTCTTCGGGTTTACACTGGATATGGGTATGTGGTTGGAGCTGTGTGTGGTGCAGCGCAAGCCACCCATGGTCCCTCTGTAGGCGCAGGCGTTCTGTGGCTTGCCACAGTGACAGGCAAATCCGAAACCGGATGTAGCCAACCATACTTGTGGGACATACCTAACTGTCCATCCGAGTGGGACTGCAATACAATAACGAACACACACTGATTGGACTAAATTTATTAACGATGACGACGTGTGTCGGTTCAAGCGTTATATTGGATTGGAACGCACCTGGTTTCACGCGACTGATACACAAGCGCGCAGCTCATCTAACCGGAAGGAATACTATTAAAAATCAGCAACAACAGAGGGAAGCTTCGTTTTGCACATACCATTAAGTGTTCGAAACAGTTATCCCAGTAAGAATTAGAATGTTTAATTCACTAATTTAGGACTGAAGTAAACGTGGTCATAAATTTGAGTGCAATGCGTTTTTAACAGGAATGTAACCCATTCTCATCTACAACAGATAATTATGATCTGTATACACATGACGGCTAGAACAGCCACTTCTCCATCTTACTCCGTGATGCACGATAATTACTATGAACTTCCAGCCGCTGTACCAAGCAATGCTCGTGGAGGTCTCGCCTTGTGATCAAGACGCAAACCATCAGCCACTGTGTCGGGTTCCACCCACAGCTCAAGCTATCTTTTCCTGTCGAGTTTCACTCAGGATGAAACCTGCCGGACACTGTTGGAAAAGATCAGCACCGAAACTCCAGTTCGGATGGGGTTTCTAGTGATCAGAATGACAGTTTCTTTCAGAGCAAAGCGTGGCCTTAATCGAGATTGCGTTTTACAATCCAATCACACGGGGGGGGGACTCCAAGACCGGACAATAAACAATGCGCTCAGTTCATCCTTTGGTTTCAAGCAAAGCTACAGTGACCGATGTGTCCGGGATTCATTTCAAGTCGAAGCATGGTAGCCAATTAGACTACACGCCGCAAACAATCCCAATATGTGTGAAGTGAGAACAAGTAAAAAATCGGCCCATTTTAGTTTGATTGATTTAGTATGGCTCGGGTTACCCCACAGGAATAATAACTATCTGCTACCAACGAATAAGCAAAACCAGCTGGAGTTCCGTTAAAAGACTGGAGAGATTTGTTAAAGTCATGAGACGGTAATACACGCTACTGATGTCAAACGCGCTGCGAAATTCTCGGCCGCGTGAGACCAAGAGACATGCCTGAGTAGCGATGACTAGACTTTCAACCGGCAAAACGACATCCGGCAGTCCAATTCCGCGTCTCTGCGACATCTCTGGGCGACACTGTCGTGTCGCAAAACTTGACATGAAGTTATTGATGGCAGCTTCTGTAGCCTGGTGTGTTGGATTAGCCAGCTGTTCATTATAACAAAGCTATTTGGTAAAGTGGTATATGAGTCAACTATCAGGGGATAAATTTTATAACTGTTTTTGATCTAAGGTCATAAACAAGTAGCATTGGTACGTATCTTCCATCAGGACTACAAATATGGGCGCTTGAACTTGCATTGGTTCCGCAGCTACGTTGGCCTGCGTAGCAAATCTTTGTGCGCTCGTACTTGGCAACATTGGTGAGAAAGAGAGAAGAAACTGTCTTGCCCATGTGTATGTTGCTCTTAACTCAAACTACCAGAAATTCGTTGTACTCTGTATTTCTTAAGTTGATTGTAGACTTCCATTGGATGCAACAGTGCTGATGGAATCCGAAAGGTAAAAATTGGTGCAAAATGCTGGTGAACATATCAAGTATGGCGACCAATGTAGCCGGCAATCAGTTAAGTGTAAACCCACTAGTCAAAATCCCCTCGTCTTCCATAAAACAATTCAAACTATGAAGAATTTGCTTACGTGAAATACATTGAGCACCATATAATAACCTATCCCATTTGTCACTCACTGAGCTTTCGCTGTAATTTAATCCAGTGGCATTGCCATTACATTTATAACCTAAGCATTGTTATTAGGTCAGAATGATTGGTTTATAAATGCCATTAGTATTAACTGCAGTACGCCCTTTAGGATGCTGCGGCAACCAACGCGCATGTGCCAATGGGATGTCGTACTCGGAATAGCTTACACTCAGCAGGCTGCAAACCCAACTCCAGTAACATTTCACCAGTAACCAGTCTTACAATTGTCGAGGTTATATAACAGTCGAACACAGGTTTCCAGTAATAGGACATACAGACTTGAACATGCCTCCTAACATCGCTTTAAATGCTTTCAGTAAGACTGCGGTTTGTTTCCCGATTCCGAACATAGTATCTGCAAAATTCGGTATACCAATACTACATTTGTTGATTGTGACAGGGATGTCTGACTGCGTACCGATCTGAGCTGTGCTTGATGTTTTCTGTCAGTATGCAACGTAAACCCCAGATTTTGTAGACAGTTTGAAAACTTCCGCCTAACGCTCAAGGTTTCGGACTAAAAGTGAAATAATTTTCACTTCCATAAGCATGATTTGTTTGGTTGACTATCATCAAACTCTGATTTCATGACGGCTAGGCACTGGAATTACCTTTATTCCCATACCTCGGTATAAATAACCTGGTAGCACCTAAACCCAATTACAACCATTAGAAATCCGTGAGAATAATTGTAGCTCGGGAGGCGGAAGAGGGTGTGCAGCTGTTCTTCAAATCGGCTGATTTGGCTGCAAACGTTTCATTGTCAGGCTAGACAACATTATCAGTGCGATTTATGCGGGCCACTTATAGATCTAAGTGATTATTGATCACTTGATTCGAACGTCAAGAGTCGATTGGTCCACGTGAGCTGACCGTGTAGTCAGCTCTTGCGTACTGTTGGCTAGAGTCCGCCTCAGTGGCGTTCCTTTGTCCTGTTGATCTGGGGCGGAGTATTGATTTGACCCTCAGTGCTTCATAGGCATTATCTAGACCTACGTGTCTGTTGATTGAGTTCTTCCCCGAGTACCAAGCCTCGATGAACTCGCTTGTCTTTCGACTTCTTGCCTTGCCTATGATCCTGATATTCGCCAACTCAAACTGATGATTCTCGACGTCCATATGTACCGACATCAGAGAGTTCTGGTCATGTCGGCGGATGGCTAGGCTATGCTCGTGTAGCCTAGTGCCGAGCTTTCTTCCTGTCTGGCCCACATAGTACTTGTTACAACTTTTGCAGTGGATTTTGTAAATCACACTACTTGTTTCTTCTTTGCCAAGCCGGTCCTTACTATTGAAGACCTTGTCTCAGATAGTTTCCGCCGGCTTGTGAGCAACTCTGATTCCGAAAGGTAGTAGCAGTCTCG